AAAAAGGGTCGCAAGCCTTGTCTAATTTATCACAAGGCAATTAGACAAGGCTTGCGACTCTTTTTTGTTACTATAAAACTTAAATTAATTTATTGTAGATGTTTTCATGCTAATTTGTCCGTGACTGATACTTAAAGTTCTGTTAGAATTAAAACAGAAGGAACTTCATTTTATGATTCGAACTATGTTGTCGCGATCGGTACATCTAAACGAAAACTTGCTACATATATTTTCCACCTTTCGCTTTTTTTATTAAGTTTTTATCATAAACGAAGAAATCAAAGCGTTGCTGAAAGTATCTTCACCATAATTTTCACATTTTGACATTTGCTGTCCTCATGTAATGTTTTTGGCTGCTGGTTACATTTTGAAGTTTGAAAGATGTAAGAGATCTTTCTTTAATATATTCAATTAACCAAATTATGTTGGTTCCAGTTTAGGTGGTAATTAGACTCTATCAAACAAATGACATTAATGAATTATCATAAAATTCACGGGAGCTTGAAATCAGATGTCAATACTCCCTCTTTTCTATAACTTCTTCAACATTATTACCTCAAATCTGCGGTTCTTCACACTCAAAAGGTCCTAGTCATCAAATCTGCTGTAAGCTTATCAGAAGACAAGTACTCGAGCCTTATCTCCATCTTTTTAGATAAATCAGGCAAACAGTGTGTCTTAAGAGAGTTATGCGTAGTCTTATTGTGGTGAGTTGTCTGTTTGGTCAGTGCAATACAGGCTTGATTGTCCACATGCACTCAGACGGAAAAATATTTACTCTGATAACAATATAGATATATGCTAAAGCTGTCTTGCTGCTACCTAATCGTTAACTTCTGCTGTCGATTTCGCAACCCTTTGGATTTTATTTGAATAGCTATTGCAATAAGAATTGTCATTGTTCCGACTTTCGATACGAAAGTAACAGAATATTTGTGCTCGGGGTGGTTTTTTTTCGGAAAGTTTCGACTTTTTAACTAGCCTTGTTCAATTTCAAGCTAAATTCACTGGAACACTCCTTGGGTTGTTAAGGTTACAAGTCTAATCAGCGTCTGAGAATTTGGTACCAGTGTCCTTTTTCCTCTAATTCGGTTTCATTGCTTTTGTACCTTGAAGATACCTTCGGACGTGTTTTGCAGCAATGCAATTTTCGTGAGTTGCTTTTTGAAGAAAACTACTCAAACGAGGTGCTGCAAACGAGATACCTGATCTAGTATAAACTGTCAAAAAGTTAAGATTGCCAACTAAACCACGTTGGTTTGTTTTGATTTTCTTTCAGCTGCTCTCCCAGTTGATGTTCCATCAAAAGTTTTGCGTCAAGACTCATTGGAGTATGAGCTCTCTTGCAATCAGTCATGTTGAACTTTTTTAACAGATTTTTAAATTTTTCTCTTGGCTTAAACTCACCTCATTGTCATTCAATTCAATACTCATTTTCAAAAATCATTCAACATCTGACGCCACACATCAAAACTGGTTTCTTTTCTAGCACTAGCCATTTTGTAAATTTGATGCCATTCCTACCAATAAACAGTGTCATCTACCCGTACCTATGCTAACCCCAAAGACTTAGCTACACGACACTCAAGCAAACTCATGTACGCATGCGTTAAACCCAATTTCCATCGGAGTTTACCTCAAGGGCATGTACCAGTTCCTACTCGGCTGTTTCAAACCATATAAGCTGGTTTCAAGCTTACAGAACAGGTCATTTCATCAACCTGCATGATGCCTTCAGCTTGTTTTATGCTTTTCTCCTCCTGGATACCCGCATTTAGATATGCAGTAAGAGTGTCGAATTGTCTTGGTTTCATAATATACTGAGCGGCAAAAGCAAGCATAGACCTGATACTCGACACATGCGCAATCGGCCAATTCGAATTAGGTTGCAAAAAAAATCTCTTCCTTCAACCTGCAAATACCCTTTTGCCTCACATCACGCCCTCTGGCATTTCTGTCGAACCTTTTTCTGTAGCTCTTCGCTCTTGAAAAGGAAAGTGCTTGTCGTCAAATTTTGCTGATCTTACGTAGACAACTGAATTCTTCAGACCTGTTCTGTTCGATCCTTATCAAATAAGTCTTAACTGAATCAGCAAAACCAAGAAACACAACAAATTTTGAGGTCAGATGAAACTTATCCCCGCTGTTCTTGCGTACAAGCTATAGTTTTGACATACTCAAAAATAATCAGGTCAGGTTTCTCCCCATACATCATCTCGTTTAGGGTTTTTCTATAGTTAAATGGAGACTGGTTCTTCACAAACAAAGCATAGTTCACGGGTCATGGCCAACACGCGTTGTCCATCCCTGCTCGATGTATCTTACATCTAGCCATGCTGCAAACTTTTACCGAGGTTCGCTCATTTTTGTCTTCCCATCTGGAGTGAGAGCTCCTTTCTTATGCTTTTATTCCTACGCCATTTCTTGGAATTCGCACTGAGAAACTCTTTGGCACAATCGCTCTCTAAGGTATCAAGTTGTCTGATATTCGTGTCAAACTTCATGATTTTTTTTTCAAGAGCGTCACGTGAAATTTGATCGAATACACTTGCATCTAATGCAAAAGGACTATTTGACAACGAACCCAAGAGCTCGCTCATGTCCATCAACAGAGTTGGAGCTTATTGGACCTTAACTGTGAGCTTAATGGACAAACTAGCGTTTCCCTCCCAAGCTATGGTAATGGTAGCAACTACTCTAGTGGCCGCTTTTCGCGTGCTTCTTTTTAACTCCGACCTCTCACAGACACCAGCATTTTCATCAACGGTTTCTATTCCTCTAATTTAGAATTAAGTTTTCTCAGGCCTGACCAGTTGTCGTGTTTAATATTTCATGTCACAGATTGAGCTTAACTGCCAAGCTTTCATCTTCGAGAAAATTGCCTCGCAGTTTCCACAAAAATAAGGTTCCCACTTGTTCCAGTGGAAAAATCCGAATTTTTAATCCCAAATTGAAATTTCTTCTCAAAAATGCGTTTCCGAGTTTGCGCTTGCCGAGTGGGGAATCGAAATTAGGTATCGTTCTAAGTCTGATGTATAGCGAGCTCGCTCTAATGCCATTGCCCTTGTTCGACCTTTTGACAGCAACACTAAATTTTGCCCATACCAATGCCTCCTATAAGTGTTTCAGTTTTGTTTGATCAAATTCGTACACCCATATTTCCTCCGTCAAACTGGTAATCAGTATTTTCTCACGCAACATGGAGTTGCTACAATGAGTAGTTCATCTCCACCGTTTCATCCCCGACATAGAGAACTCTTGTTCCGATTCTAGAGATTCTTCAATCAATGCTGCTTTCTCTTTTGCAGGCTGGGTTCAGAAACGCCTGGCGTTTCAATCATTCTCACATTGCTGCTCATGATTGGGGTTCCCCTTCTAATTTTAAGGACATTTGAAAAATTTTGGTACAACTCACCAAACCTTTGACACTTCACTTCTGATACATCTCGTTTTCCCTTACAATCTTTCTTCTCATGGCCAATTTTACATCTAAAACACTTGGTTCCCCCAACCCCCTGACTTCTGCTGTTAAGCACTTCCCTTCCTCATTTTTGCTTTTATCGGCACTCCTCGTGTCGGTTTCAAAATGAATCAAATCACTTCTAAGATCATCTTTTGGTCTTTTCTCTTTTGAACTATTTTATTACCCATTTCAGCAAGATCGAAATAAGCATCTGCTCTTTTTTGGCTCCAGCACTTCAACTAGGTTTGCCTGTAACTCTTCTAACCTTGCTATGTAGACTGACTATGACAGACTGCCGCGAACCCATTCTAACTGAAGTTTATTGCTCCATCAAGTTATGAAGTCTCGGTCGCTCAAAGCCTTTGAAGCGATCACAGAGAGCCTTCCAGGCTTTTGGGGTCATCACTCCACGCGACCGCTAAAACAAAACAGACCTACGGTCTAAACACTAAGCAAGCTCACACCATATCGTTTACTTCTTATCTGTGAGAACAACTTCCCCCTTCTTCAGCATCTCGTCGCTGAGAATCCTCGGAAGTGTTTCTTCTCGCTGCCGTTGCAAAGTTGCTGCTTGAGCGTCTCCTGTCAACACCTTATATAAAGTAATAAGATACATGCGTGCTTCAAACTTTTCGAGGAAAATCACAAAACCCTCCTCTTTACCGAAGTATTTACCTCTCGGGAGCTCATTTGCGCGCCACAATAGTACTAAATGCACCAGTTCAAAACTTAACCCTTCTCTGAAAACTTCAATTAAGCAACAGATTTTTTTCGTGGGGGTTGAGATTTGCAGACTGTCTACTTTACTTCTAAACTTTTTGATTCGTTACAATCGGATCGAGCAATTGTTAGTGTTTACCTAGAAAGGCAACAAAAATAAGGGGACGCAAGCATACAAATTTACTACTCAAAATTTTAAATCATGATATTGTACACAAACATTTACTGACACTGTCCAAGTTTTCATTTTCCTTTTTTTATTTTCTGGCTTTTAGCCTTAACTTGTTTTACTTATCAATTTGACCACAATCAAAAGACAATTCTAATCAACGTCATAGAAAACACGCACAATCTTATTAAAAAACCAGTCTTCTCAAGTCTAGCCCACTGTTGACCTCTTCCTACTATCCCTAGATCCAGTGGGCTCCTCCTTATGAAATTGCCCTTCCTCATTGTTTCTTCAGAATTGTAGCGCAGAGAAAATCTGGGTACCATAACCTGACAGAGTTCTTTCTGTAATATAATCAATTATCCCAATTATGGTAGGCGGTAATTAAGTTTCTATCAAACAAATGTCAAGATTGAATCATCAGAAAAGTCACGGGAACTTGAAATCGGTAGTCAATCAAAAGTTACGAAATAATCAGATAAGATTTATTTGTTCATCGGTTTCCTTAAGCTTACACTGATTCTTTTGGCATTTAAAAGCAGTTGTGACGTCCCGTTGGGATGTTTCATCATAGCGAGGATGTCTGTTTTTGTCAAGTGTGACGAGTATGTGGGAAAGATGAGATAGTGTTGATTTTGTTTATTTCAGGCGAGTGACAAATTCAGTTTCAAGTACTGCAAGTTTAATATAAAGAAGAGCAAGGAGAGCACTGGAAGAGTGGTGGTGTTCCGTCAGTACAATATCCCGAATGCATATACCATGGAGGCCACCTTCTGTGGGACGACCCTCAGGTCTCTTAAAATATACAATAGCAACAAACCTCTCCCTTACTTGTAATTTGACCCCGCTGACTGGGCATTTTCTTATGGCAGAAAGCCAGAATGACATTTTTTTCAACACAAAATCCAAGTTTTTAATTTTTCAAAAATTGGCTCATTTTCACTATATTATTTCAAACTTCCTGAATTCTGATTGGCTAATGCAAGTTTGGGCGGTCCTTCCCGAATAGCATAAAGTGATAGTGTAGTGTAAAATCCTGAAATGTGATTGCCTCTTGTAGTTGCTAGAAAGTTGATTGTTCAAGCCTGATTGCAATGATTAATATTCATGATGGTTCACCATGTTAATTGAAAGCTCGCATTCAAGGGAGGACGCGTCGATTAAAGAGAACTATCACTATCTAAATGGAATCTTTTTCAAACTAATCACAGCCCAGAAAATGTCTATGCTTTGAACAACTTATAGAAACCTTCCCTCCTTCTCCAGTGGTACTAATAATGCTGACATTTGAACAGAGCAAGGTTCTTTTTCAAGGTCCAGAAAATTGATTTTCTTTTGGCTGAATTTCATGAAGATGGAGGAAACGATGGTAATTTTGAGTCAGATTCTAGAATTCAGATTCTATAATAAGTCGGCGGCAATGATGTCTCTGTTGAACTATAAAATGTGTGAGCTGATTGCAGTTTTTCAACTAACATTGGTAGTATTTACCTGCATTCTTTTTTGCTGACCGAGTCTGGAATATGAAATCGGTATACACCTTGAACCGCCCATTTTCAAATAACTCGAGAAAATGAGCTTGATTGACTTCAAAAAAGAACAACAATAACAAAAATCTGAACTTTGTAAAAAAAAAGTATAAGAACCGGAATATTTAAAATACCCTTAAAGTAATTTTGAGCTAAACGAGACAACAGTTCTCCGTATCTGTTCACGCCATTCCAGGATTTGTCAAGAAATAAGCAGTGAAACAAAAGAACTTTCCCAAAAATTCAGAAATCGATTTTAGAATTAGATACTTGAGATAAATAAGGTAGATGTACTTGTTTCAGTGGAGCCAATCGTCACTTCAATTCCAATGACTTTAAGGCTATTGGGAAAACACTGACCGAAGCTCTGCTCGATTATTCTCGCGCTCTCGAAGATGAACAGTAAGCTTTTCTATTCTATACCGATTTAATCGTACAACCCCAATCAAGGTTCATTATATGGAGATTTCGATTCGAATCAATTGATTATTGATTTTCGAAGTAACTTTTGTTTCTGTGAAAGCTTGAAGCTTTATTTTCGCTTTGTGCAATAAGGAAGACCTTAAAAGCTCGACGTCAACGAGGAGCAAAAATTTTGCGTTTTAATAAGAAAATGGAAATGTTTGGAGAACTCAATAAGGAGCATCTGGAAGAACTTCATGGCGTCACTAAGATTTTCATTTAAAGGTCGTGCTGATTATTTCCAGGAAGTTTTCGCAGTTTGACTTTTGATTTTTTTTAAGTTCAGTTCATTTCCTTTGTTAAAACGAAAGCAAACTCCACTATCTAACAGCAAAGTCAAAACTCCATTATCGATTAGCATAATAGAAAAGGCCCATAAAATCGTGGTCGATTTTGTACAGCGCTGATTTGATTTATATTATGCAGACACAACACTTAAAGCTTGTCATTCAAAAGGCTTTTTTCTCGTAATGGGTTGAGTTAAAATATTGACTATGATATTTTTTTTCATTGATTTTGTTAGCAATTGAGCCGTTAGTTTTTTATCGTAATTTGTGATTAATTTAAAAAAACACAGGATTTGGGCCAAGAATTTTCAGCAGAATAAATATAGTGGAAAATTCGGGACAAAAATTTTAGCCCAAATCAGCCCATTTTCAAATTTAAAAAAAATTACGACAAAGCTAACGGCTCAATAGCTAACAAACTCAATGAAAACATAATATCATACTGCGTCTCTCATGTATTCCAACATCAATTAAAAAGGGGTGTATTCTCCGAATTTTGAAAACATAACTCAATGAAAACATAATATCATACTGCGTCTCTCATGTATCCCAACAACAATTAAAACGGAGTGTACTCTCCGATTTCAAAGAAAGTTTTGAGGGTCCGTCGGCCAAAATGGATTTCACAAAATATTAACAAGGGGGACCCTTTGGGTCGGCAGGGGGTCAAATCCCTAAGGGAAGCATTCGCCCCCCTCCCTAAATCCACCCGTGCTTAAGAGAACAAGTTTTTTCGGGTCTTTAAAAGACACTCTATGGTCTTTTAAAATGGCTTCAAAAATTTTAGTCCAAATCCTATGTTTCTTTTTCAAATTAATAAAAAATTACGACAAAGCTAACGGCTCAATAGCTAACAAACTCAATGGAAACATAATATCATACTGCGTCTCTCGTGTATCCCAACAACAATTAAAAGGGGGTGTCTTTGTTTGGGGTGTCAACAATTAAAAGGGGGTGAATTTTTGTACAAATAACTTATTTTCGTTAAATATTCAACAAGCGTCATTTTTACTATGCAAAATACCATTTTTAAATGTAGTGAAGTTTTAGTGAAGACTCTTATATAGGTCTTAGTGATTTTTTTTTCAAGAAGAAGTCTTAATATGCTCTAATAACTGCACTTAGGTATATATGCACTTTTGAATTCATTTGCTGAAAGGTAAGTAAATAGCCTTCTCCAAATACGAAATGGAGCAAAAAAAACGAAAACGAACAATTTATAGTTTCGGAAGTGGAATTTAATATATAGATTTCCTGCGGAATAAAACCTTTTCGTTTGATCCAGTCTTCTGCAGTTGGGATAATGTTATCTGAAAAGCGCCAATCATAAATTGTTCAAGAGGTTCGAAACGTTCATTTCAAAACGTTCATAACAAATTTTTGGAGGTTATACTCGTTTTTGAATGTTATTGGTCTCACATTGGTATAAGTTTGTCAGCAATTGATCCGGAAGTTTTGTCGTAATTTTTGATTGATTAAAAAGCGTAAATAACGACCGAATTTTGGCCCAAATTTTGCAAGAAAAAATTGCACTGTTTTAATTTCGCTGAAGTTCTAAGCAAGTTTTGTCGATCATTTTTCGCCTAAATTCCACCGAATTTGAGAAAAATGCCTTTAAAAATTTATGCGTTGGTTTCGGATGATTTAAATCAGCTCTGTAGTTTCCAAAATAGATTTAAGTTTTTAGATTTCCTAGCGGAATGCAAAAGTTATCTTATGTTCTTTCATCTCAAGTGTTTTTATCTAAAAAGTGTAAATCATAATTTTTTCTTGAAATTCGACGAGCACTTATTTGTGTTATTCGAAAGTTGGAGCTTTTTCAAAGAAAAACATGTCAGTATTTTGCATGAAGCATGGAAACCTTCTACTTTTATTTTTGTACAGGTGTATGTTCCCTTTTAGATAAATACAAACATACAAGAATGCGCAAACGATCTCTTTAATTTGAAAAAAAAAAAGGATTTGCTTTGAATAGTTTAGTGCGAAATAGTTTATATTTTGAATTCTAAATTAAATTTTTGGATACTGTAGTGTTTGTTTGGTTGTTTCCAGTGCCGAGTCGAGGTACATTTTGGAGCTGACTCGTGCTGTTACCCGCCAGTTCATTTTGGACCTCCCGAAGAAGACTGCGGCGGGAGATCAAGCTAACAACAGTAGAGCAGACGATTCTACGTCAGAAAAGGAACTGGCCAAACGCAAACAGAAATGTATGTCCGCTGAAATATTGTTCAATTGTCTGAAGAAAACAAATTTGAGGTTTTTCGGCAAACGAGACAACTGTTAAGAGCAGGGGTGGATCTATGAGTTTCTCGAGGGGGGCGGATTTTCAAATAAATTTTGACCTTTCTTTTGTCGATCAAATTGATTTTCCGGGCTCTCCCAAAGCACTAAAATGACACTATTTTGGCCCAAATTTTCTGCACCGCAGGTAAAATTGTGAAAAAACAGGCCATAAAGGCGTTTTTAAGCACTTTTTGGAAATTTTGACCAAAAAATCACGTTGTTTCCGCGCGCGCTTCCCTTTCAAAATTAGTAAATATTGGCGCCAAAGAAAGTTTTTAGGGTCCGTCGGCCCAAATTGATATCTCAAAATAGTAACAAGGGGGACCCTTTGAGTCGGCAGGAAGTCAAATCCCTAAGGAAAGCATTCGCCCCCCCCCCCCCTAAATCCACCCGTCGGATTTACGGTCTTTTAAAAATGGCTTCAATTGCATGAGATTGATGAGAAAGAGTTTTGTTCCTCTAAGTAATTTCAAAGTAACAAATATTGTATTTCAAAGATATTGTACACTTACTGACACTGTCCAAGTTTTCCTTTTTATTTTCTGGCTTTTGGCCTTAACTTGTTTTACTTATCAATTTGACCACAATCAAAAGACAATTCTAATCAATGTCATAGAAAACACGCACAATCTTATTAAAAAACCAGTCTTCTCAAGTCTAGCCCACTGTTGACCTCTTCCTACTTTTTTTGTCGGTCAAACAGATTTTCCGGGCTCTCCCAAAGCACTAAAATGACACTATTTTGGCCCAAATTTTCTGCACCGCAGGTAAAATGGTGAAAAAACAGGCCATAAAGGCGTTTTTAAGCTTTTTTTGGAAATTTTGACCAAAAAATCACGTTGTTTCCGCGCGCGCTTCCCTTTCAAAATTAGTAAATATTGGCGCCAAAGAAAGTTTTTAGGGTCCGTCGGCCAAAATTGATATCTCAAAATAGTAACAAGGGGGACCCTTTGGGTCGGCAGGGGGTCAAATCCCTAAGGAAAGCATTCCCCCCCCCTCCCTAAATCCATCCGTCGGATTTACGGTCTTTTAAAAATGGCTTCAATTGCTTGAGATTGAAGAGAAAGAGTTTTGTTCCTCTAAGTAATTTCAAAGTAAAAATTTCAAAGTAAAAGTAATTTCAAAATTTCTTCAAAAATAACAGACGAGACTTGGAGGGGATAGGACAATTAGACTGTTGTCCACTTTACAGTTTGTACTTCGATATTTCATTATTTATTTTCAACATATTTCTAGGAAAGAATAAAAAAAATATTTACTCAGTTTTTTTGCATTAAGAAAGTTCTCAAGAAAAAAACCATCTGATAAGAAAAACGCCACGCATAGATCTGGTTTAAAATCCAAAGTTTTGACTTGAACCTTTTATTCGTCAAAAAGGATGTATCAAAAATGATGTTTTGATCTGAATAAAGTTTAAGTGTATCATATGACTTTGAAGTTGATGTTTCTGCAAATTGCAATATTTTGTCGAAATTTGTTGAAGCTTTTGCTAGCATTAACTTGCATTATAGACTTTATTTGAACTAAGATAAGTATTTTTCAGACTCGTTGCAAATTTTATTCGAAGTCGATGAGTATAGTTCAGAATCTTATAGAGCGTGCGATATTTTTCTGTTTTTTTAAAGGAATTGTTCTAGAATTTGTTCTGTCTCAAATTTACTTTTCGCGGTTGATTTTTGATTTCTTTGTAATTTCAGTTCATTTCCTTTGTTGAAAGGAAGGCACTTTCCACTATCACTATCGAACAGCAAAAGTGTAAAGGCTGCAAAAAATGTGGTCGGATTCTAGTTTCGAAAGTGGATTGAAATTTTCAGATATCCCAGTGAACTAAAATTTACTTATTGATCCAGTTTTCTCAAATGGGTTAGTTTTATCTAAAAAAAAACATCATTAATTGTATAAGAAATTCAAAGAAATTAAAAGGCATCTGTTTTTTTCTTCGAATTTCGAAAGTTAAGTTTTTCTCATAAAGGAAGCAATTTTTTTGTTTGCTTGCGTTCATTGACTCGTTTCCAACTGTCTATTAGCTGGGTTTCTCTTTTCTCGAAAACCTGCCAATTTTAATCAAGTGGTTTTTTTTGAAAACCACCTCGCCAATTCTGAGATTAAAGGTTCACTACAAATAACAGATCTTTAGGACTTCCTTGCTGCGCCATATTTATAGAATAAAACGATGGCGTTAGAAATCATGCAATTTTTTGAAATTTTGATCGTTATTGGAATTTTTTTCCCCAAAAGTTGCGTTAATTCAGAGGTTCAATCGAAAAAAAACATGTTGTGGGACCTTTAGTCCATAAAAATTTTTAAAATCAAAATTGGATTGAAATTTGTGCTGAGGTGCAAATCAGTTTCGTGTTTTGCACGCATTTCGGCAAGTAACGCGTTCCAGTAGTATTCGTTATAGAAAAAGTAAGAAAGAAAGAAAGAAAGAATTTATTTCTCTTTGTTTATGGTAAATATGCATATAACGAGAATTTAAACATGAAGCACCAGAAACAGTGAGGGGACAGTGAGCGAATCCAATTGGGTTACGGAGCACTGCCCGTTTAATCAAATGAAATATGAGATCTTCAAAGAAAAGGAAAAATATATAAATCTGAAAACATAAAAGAAACTATTGGAAAAAAGTATTTATGGCATTATCTAGACAGGTTAATGACATAAGATCTAAGCTCTGCATCAATATTTAATATGATGGTTCAATATTAGACGCTATAAAACCAAATTAGTTAAGAAAAGAGTTCAAATTCATTACTCATAATTTCTGAGACTCGCTAGTCGAAGGCACCCCTATTCAGTATAAAAAACAAAACTTGAACTTGTTCACTTTACGGTTATTGCTTCTACTAACTGTCTCCCATCCCTTGAAGCCCCTCTATCAGCAATTTTGATTGAGGGCTAAACGGTCAGTAGACACCTAACTGAGCCCATGAGGCAGTAACCAGCGAACAAGCCCAAGTGTGTTTTTCAAAACGCCGAAAACACAACGAAAACCATACACAATTATATTTAAAAACTTGAATTATGCAGGCTTTCCACATCTGTCATTCTCCGGTATTATCTTTGCATCTAAAAAAAGGGTCAACAAAAAATAAATTTGATCAGCTCTTCATTGCTTAATATAATCAAATCAGGAATTTCGTGGGCAAAGCGTTTAATACCTGAATTGGAAACTTGATCAGAAATTTTTGGAAATAAGGAGTTTTGCTTAAGTTTATTATAGAGCTTAGCTCCTCTTTAACTAATTGAAGCTCTTTGAGTTTTGCTTTTGAGATTATGAGTTTTCATTAAATTAAAAGTTGACCTTCTGGTCATATACGACGGTTTATCAAATACCAAAATCTAATTTAAAAAAGTTTTAGAGTGTAGTCCTGGTATTGATCGCAAGACAAATTTGAGGAGTTTAAACTTATGCAGCTCGTGAGCTGTGAAAAATTTGTCATTAAAACTTTGTCGAAAGCTTTCATGTTGTCTTTTGAAAAAAATCAATCGAATAATTTTCTTCTGGATAAAAAAAGGGTAAAAGATTTTTTGTAGGAAGTGCAACCATACACCAATATTCCATATTGCAAAATGGGCTTTATCAGAGCAGTATTTTTCAATCATAACAGTTTTCGGAACGTAATGACGCGTTTACGGAACAATGCCACATTGTTTTCTTAGCTTAGATCGTATGCAATTAATGTGTGAAAAATGATAAATTAGCATTAACATAAATACCAAGATATTTGCATTTTTTTCAGTTTTTAAAGGTATGCTATTAGTAAACAATTGCTGGTTGGAAGCACTGTTAAGAGATACACTAATTTGTACCGTTTTGTCCATATTTAGAGATAATTTAATCAAAATTAACCAGTTATTTGTAGCTTCTATGTCTTGATTGAAGCTCTCAACCTAGCAGCTTAGAGTCAAGTGATGTTTGTGTTGTCGGCAAATACGGTTTGCGGTGCTTCAAGTAACTTTTAAACCAAAGTAATTTTTTAACACTGACACTATACATTTCTAACAACTTATGAAAAAGAATCTAGTAATCCAGTGTGTCAAAAACTTTTTTTAAATCAAGAAAAATTGTTCATTCAGTCAAAGAAACATTGATTTTACTAACAAATAAATTATTTGTGGAAGCTTCATTTAGCGCTCCCTTGGCAATGAAAGGTTTCTGAATAAAAAAATTATGGAAAAATAGATGAAAATTTAGCTAAGCACGAAAAAGAATTTGCTTTAAAGTCGGACAAGAACCAAAAACAAACCTTTTTTTTCACATGTTTTTAGCAAGATGAGATTGAAGTAGGCAATACCTTTTGTTTCCTTGATTTATTAGCTTGAAACATAACCAATATCTTACCTTGGAACGCGCAAATCTAAATAAAACAATACAAATCTAAATTGTGAGGGTAAATGTCATCCGGCACGGATCGATAAACTTTGATGCATATATATAGATAGATATAAATGTAACATCCTAGTTAATGTCGTCTTATACATAATATAATTTTACTGGTGATAACCCAATGCACTTCATTGCTTTGTCTGCTAATTATGTAACCGCTATCGAAAGTAATTCAACTGTTAGCTTATTCTCATGAAAAAGCGCCAATTTTGGATCTGTTCAGCTCTTTGCGGATGTCAGCTTTCTACATCACTATGAAAGTTTTTGTAATTTTTTGTGGTGGAAATAGCTGCCTCAATTAATGAGCACGGATGATGATTTGCTTCAAACCAGCTATTGAAATCTCAATAGTCGGACAGATTTTTACACAGCACGTCGGATGCAGCCGTTTATGCTTGAATGAACTTGCAAAATCGCTACGTAAAGCCACGAGAAGATCCGAGTCGGATCTTCTCGTGGCTTTACGTAGCGATTTTGCAGGTTCATTCAAGCATAAACGGCTGCAACGCAAAACACTGCAACTACTGGCCTAAGCTACGAGTTTCAAGTGATACCTTATTTTATCAAGTCTCACATTTTGATCCAGGGGTAGATCTAGACTTTTCTGAGGGGCAGGCGGATTAAAAATGTTTAAAATTTTGTTCTGGTAGTGCTCGGAAAATCAATTTGGTCGGCCTAAAAAAAAGATTGACAAATTGATTTTCCGAGCACTCCCAGAACACTAAATAGGCCCAGGCAATTTTAAAAAAAAAACAGGTAAAAAAAGCTGTTGACTAAGAAAATAGGTTTTTTTTCAGCGCGGGCTCCCCTTCAAAATTAGTATATAAGAAAACATTTTATAAAAATTTTAGGATTGGTCGGTCTGAAATGGATGATCGCCTTTTGGTTGGTGAGAGGGTCGAATCCCTGAGGGGGTCTTCCAACAGAAACCCCCCCTTAAAGCCGCCCATGTTTTGATTTAAGATTGTACTAAATTGGAATTAAGATTGTCCTTTCACTTGAAAAATAATAATAAAATGGCTGGCAGGGGAGCGGCAATGAGCTGGTTACGTCTCCGCCTCTCAATCGAAAGGTCGGATGTGCTCGTTGCTTGAGGGTGATGCAACATTGTCCACTCCAGAAAAATAGTTAAAAAACTACATGTATATCATTACTTGGGGCACAGCAGCGGTTCTTCATGATCGGAGGCGGAGCAATAAGCAAAATGGTCCAAGTGCAGAATGGGTCAAAGAGCAGAAAAACAGAAAAATATTGACTTATATTGGTTTATACGGGCTAATTGATAAAACAATAATTAGAATCTTCAAAAAATACCAAGAAAACGAGTAATTTATGCATAAATTGACTAACTTCGTTAAGGTTTTTGATTAAACTTTTTTTAAAATTCTTGATTGTATTGCTCAAACTATGTATAAAATGTTCATTGCTTGGTATTATTGACCTTTCTGATAATTAATTTACCGATTAGCTTATGAAAGTTGATATTTTTCTATTTTTCTGCTCTTGGACCCTTTCTGCTCTTAGACCATTCTGCTAATTGACTGGCCACCTTCATGATCGTATGTTGGTTGTTTCCCTTGTTGCTTTCCTTTGGGGACATTTTTTCTTATTTCAAAACTGTGAACATGCGTACGAAATCAGGAGAAATTTTGTAGACTTATGAAGATTATAATTCTACTAATTTGTCTGCGTTGGCTGCTAATGCTGTTACTTAAAATTCACACTTGCGGAGCAAAGTTTTATCAAAAATTGATATCTATCGGTCATTTGAATTTCAATTACGGAAACTGCAAATACATGAATGGTACCAAAAGATATTAAATTGAAGTAAATAGAAGAGCTATTCAAAAAAGACTGATAACTACGTAAAAAACAAGACTTCTAATATCAGAGCAGAGCAAAGACATGAATGTTCCGACTGCAATCTAACATATATATTAATTTCAAAAAAGTTCTATATTTTGCATATATCAATAAATTAAATAGACCAAATAGCAATCCTATTTGGAACGATTTCCAAAACGGATTAAATCTCCGCTTACGCGTTAATAGCATGAAATAGATCGTGCGTTAATTGACCCAAATTTGCCAAATTGGCTATCTGTAAACCCCCATAACTTAATCAAAAATAATCACAGGTGAAATATATTTTCTCAAGTTTGAGCGCAGGACAACAATGATATTTAAAAAAAATCCGTCAAAAAGTTAAAAAGTCGAAATTTGTCAGGAGAAAAAACACCCGAGCACAAATATTCCGTCTTTTTCTTCGAAAAAAGTCTGAACAATGATTGTTGTATTATGTTATTAGTTGGATTAGATTTTTTTGTTTTTAGTGGAAGAAATATCGGGACAACTGTCGAAATCGAGGAGTCTCAAGGAGTGCTTCAAACTGCTGGATTCGATGAAATCTCAAAACCAGGATAGCAGTCATGACTCAGAGTGAGAATGAGTCTATTTTCAATGTTCCCATTTTTTGTCCTTTTAAAGTTGCGCTTAAAAATATGTATTAAAAAAGAATTAATATTTGGTAAATACTCTGTAACAAGCTGAAACAAGATTGAGCACAGAATATGAAAAGAGTTTAACAGTATATTGTAATTCTAACAAAAGGGGAAGGAGGGAATTAGTCAATTAGGTGCTGATTTGTCTTACGAATTTCCTAAATGGATTTTCTTAAACTATGTATTAGCGAGCGGGAAAAGTAAATTTAACTTTCTGCATTGCAATCTATTTAAATGCGCCTTCTTCTGGGCTTATTTTTGAAATTTTGATTGTTTTAGTGCAATGTTTATTGGTCTCATAGATTTTTAAGCGCCATATTTGGTCTTCAAATTTTTTTAATTACAGTTCCGCTGTAGTGAAGATGCCCCTGGTGATAATTTAGAGTGCCTTTTTTGCGAGGAGAGTGATCAACAGTCTTTTTTCTAAATGTCAAATGGTAATCCATCACCGGTTATTGTAGTTAGCAATCGTGGGTTTTTTTTCAAACTTCGCTTCTACAAAAGATATACATCATTTCAGATGCCATCTACTTTTTAGCCGAAATACTTGAGATTATCACGTGATATTTGTTGTACCACATTGAAGTGTTGTGACATTTTTTGATGTCTTCAATTTTATGGACTTATAATAAACTTTTAAATAAGCTTGCAATTAGGGTAAAAAAATATCACAAATGAGACAATTACCTTAATTAAACAAAACAAGACTGCTCGTATATCAGGGCAAAGCCCTGAATGTTCGCACTTTCTCCTAATTCATATCGAATAGTTTTTTGGGGAAAAATTTTAAATTTTGGGCAATATCAAAGTGTGAAATATTGAGTCGTACGAAATAAATACGACCAATCTGATTAGCTAGCCTCAATTCCATTTGGAACGATTTTGTTGTGCAGGATAATTTACCATGCATAAATAATTCGCGTTACGCTCTCAGCAATATGAATAAATGTTTCAAAGCGCGCATAATTTAGTCCAGAACATGGCAAATTTGGCAATTTTCAAACCCCCAGAACTTTACAAAAAATAATCGGAGGTAAAATATCTTTTACATTTAAACTCAAGAAGTCGATATCTTTAGTGGGGTATAAAAATTTGTTTGTAGAAAACTGCTATTTCGATCGGCGAAAATTGACTGAATAAAAAAAACCACACCGAGCATAAATATTCCATTTTCTTCGAAAGTCGGAACAATTAATGCAATCTAAAATGGTACTACTTCAATATGAGTCTAATATTCGGTCGATGTCGACTATTGGAAAAATCTTAAGACCCGCTTTTAAGCCCCAGTACTTTTCATTTTAATTAACTTATTTGTTTTTCATCAATTAATTTGGGTTTTGATCATAGAATTAAAGCTTGCAATTAAGGTAAGAATTTTATCACAAATGAGACTTTGTAAAAGAGAATGCCTTTATTAAACAAAGCAATTCAATACGTTGGTTCAAATTGAGTCTAATTTTTCTTTAGGATCGGACATTAGAAAATGTTTATGTCCCATATTACCGATGTGTTCCAAAAGTTCCGATAGTTTAAATTACTTTATATATTTCCAGTCCATTTTTTGTTATCTACATATAGAGTCTAACGATTTCAATTGCAAAGGTTAACATGATCAGTACATTAAGTTAAACTTGAAAAAGACTGCTTGTATATTAGGGCAAAGCCCTGAATGTTCCGACTGCCCCTTAGTCCATATCAAATAGTTTTTGGGAAAATAAAATATTGAAAAACTAAATTTTGTTTAATATCAATGATTAATTTTAAAATTTTGAGTTGTACGAAATAAGTACGACCGATTAGCTAGTCTCAATTAAGTTTGGAAGGATTTTGTTATGCGGGAAAGTTTCCCACGCATAAATAATTCGGGTTATGTTTTCCACATTCTGAATAAAATCTTCAAAGAGCGCATAAATTAGGCTAGAGGACAGCCAAATGGGCAATTTTCAAACTCACGGAACTTTGCAAAAAATGATAGGAGGTAAAATATATTTGTACATTTAATTTCAGCGAATCGATTTTTTACGGGTATAAATTTTTTTGTTAAAAACTATTTCGATCGCCAAAAGTTGACTGAGTAACCCCAAGTATAAAAATTCCGTTTTCTTTGAAAGTCGGAACAATAGTTTGTATTCATTTTTGCTATGCATGGCTATTTGAATGGCAAAATTTAAATGATCAGTGAACTAGACATACGTAAAAGTTTAAATGGCAATATAAATCGTCGTTTTTAGATGCTCATCGCTTATTTAATAGAACTTGACTGCTCGTGTTTTAGAGCAGAGACCTGAATTGTTTTCTGGTTTAAAAATTGATAAATTAGTCGAAAAAAGTTTTATTTGTTTTGTACCACCACACTATACCACCACATCGTATCCTAACTAAAATACCAAATGACTGAAATGAATTTAGTTTGGAATAAAGTAATTTGTCACTCACAAGTGTTGTAAGAACGCAATGTGCAGCGCTTCGTTATCCCAAATTAGACCCCCAATTTTTAGACCCCCATAATTTAACAAAAAATGATCGCATTGCGATTTTTTTTACCTTTGAGCTTCCGACAACAATGACTTTCAGATGATATACAAAATTTCCGTCAAAAACAAAAGTTGTAAATTCACTGAATAAAAAAAACGCCACATGCCTAAATATTCTGTTTTCTTCGAAAGTCGGAACAGTAAAAATAATAAGAGAGATGATATGCGTTTTTTATCTTGAAAAATATATTTCCAGGTTATTGATTCCGGTTTTGTGGCATCAGGCGTTTTTCACTCCAAATATGTTTTTTTTATGGTTGGATATAGTTCAATTGATATAATTTCACTCAGGGGATAGTATACATTATCATTTTCGTTATTCTTCTTTTCTGCAAAAGCACCAAAAAGTATGCACTTTTAATTGTCGGTCATTTTTATAGGACAAATTGAGAAGCTTGTTGGCTATCACATTTTTTTTGAATTTAGCACTGACGATTCAGACAGTGGCTCAGAGAAAGAGTTTCTGGGGACAGAGAAGAAAAAGATAAAGGACGGTGCGAGGAAAAGAGGAAAGGTGGGTGGGTGGGGCCAATTAGTAAGGAATTATTTTCTCCCTTTTGCATGATGCAAATGCAATACTACTTGATTAAATTCCAACCCACCTCCTTTCAATCTGGTTTGCAAATTCCTATTTCCCGGCTGTCATTTTGGAGAAGACCGGTCAACCGAATAATTTTTTTAAAGTTAGTCTTTTTTCATGAAATCTAAGTTAGAATTGCTAATATGAACGACATGTTTTTTCCTGCTGCATTTTTTTGAGCAACAAGTGTTCGGAACATGTAGCACTCGGAGCTTTGAGATAACAGGTGAAAAGGGATTCGATTGAAATTAATTTATGTCAATTGGAAAGGTGTAATTGAATTTGAACAGCAGGGGAATATAAATGTACCCTTTCCAATACGGTTGATTTGTCTTTTGGTGCTCAACTGTTTTGATAATTGCGTTAAAACAGCAGCTCAGCTTACGATGGCGCTTTTGTGTAGGGTTCTTGGTCGCATGGAAATATGCCAAATGGAGTCCGATTCACAAGACAGAAAGAGCTATTGGCTTCTTCACCATTGACTGAAGAATGGACAAAAGTTGCCGCTAATTCGAAAAAGGTAAGAAGCGATTTTCTCTATAATTAGATGTCTATATCCCGTTCAATGATTAGTTGTCTCAATCAATGGTTTGTACTTTTTTGGCGTCTGATTGGCAAATTATGCAGCAGTTTAGCTAATGTCAAATTCTCAGTTGACAATAATTGCTGTCTTTTTTTGTATAAAATGAATGCGGTTGAGTCTAAATGTAAATAATTTTATGGCGGCGGCTTTAGAAATCGGTAAGCCTCAGCCCTAGTATAAAAGAAGAACACGTGAAAGACATCGACACAAACGAGGAAAAGACTAAAAGTTTGCGAAGGTTGCAGTCTGCTAAAGATTTGCGAGCCTTGACGTTTTATTCTCGAACAAAAGGTCCCCCCAAGGCTCTCCAAACGTCGCTTCTTCAATGGAGAAAATCGAAATTTGATTTTGACGCTGGAGTTTCTTTGAGGCAATGCAATCAGAATAGCGTGTGCTGGGAACAAGAGTTGTCTATGGCCGTTTCAAGGCTGCTCGATAGCACGTTTTATGCTCAACGCCCAACCAGGCCCTTCACTGTTGCGTCAGAAATGGTGAAAAAGCGCCATCTGAATGCCAAATTGTCCGAGTTTAACGAATCGGTAAAAAGTAGTTGTAAAAATAGCTCTCCGTTATAAACGGTTATGATAGTTATTGGATCACTTTCAGATGAAAATTTTGGATGCTGTATCAGTTTAGATCATAGTTGTTGGACATTCTAGCTAAATCTTCCTAGTTTTTATTTCTCGGTCGTCAAGATAATTGGTCAAAATTGCCTTCTAATTGTGACCTTTACTGATACAAAATTGGTTAACGATAGTTCATTTTGACAACTTATTCGATGCTCGAAACACATCATGTTACATTTACCGTATAATCAAAGGCCTCAGTGCATAAAAAGGTATACTCTTGTTAGATTTTCGTGTATTTTGTCCTTGTTATGTCGGGTAAATGCTTTCTTAGATAATTTCTCTTCTCAACGTAGTTTTGAAATGTTCCTGCCGTAAATGGATACCTCGAAAAAAGACCATAGAGGTCTTTTAGGTGTCGAGGACTCTGAATTCGCTTCTAAATGAGTTTTACTGAAAAGCATAGCGTCCAGGTTTCAAATGCTCAATTGGTGTTTATTGCTGTCTGTTTCACAGTTTTTCTCTACATAAAATATAATTTTACTTCTTTATTGCAGGTCACAGGAAGGCTCACATATTTTGAACTTGTTTAGTTCGACAATTTCGAATCTAATTGTAAATGTTATATTTAAACAATGAATGGGTGGGAAGATATCCGTACTGCGCTAAAATTTTTAATTATTCCCCAAAATTTGAATGGTAGAAACATAAATTAATCTCTTTGCTCAAAGATATTTTGCTCAATAAGGTGAAGTCAACAATTGCATTTGTTTTTGCGATAAGGCCCATAATTTTAAAGATAATTAGAAGACTGCTCGATCAAAAAAGCTACCTCAAAGCAGCTATGGGATCTCTGAAGGGTTCTTTAGATAGTACCCCAGATGTTTCACCTAAAACCCCAGGTCAATTTTTTTTCGTAAATCGTGTAGCAATTGCTTACGAATATTGTACTTTGCAACAACCTTCTTGTTCATGCTAAAACTATTTAAGATGAAATAATATTTTAAAAGTCGATGAACGTTGTGAAGATGTCGAACGCAACGGCAGAGTTCAAAATTCTTGAAATTTTTTCGCGCTCAATTTAGATTTTTTTTTGCGGTTTGACTTGACTTTTGATTTCTTTTTAACTTCAGTTCATTTTTTTTGTTAAAAGGAAGTCAAACCATCGAACACTATGGAACAGCAAAAGTGTGAAGGTCACGAAAAACAAGATTGACCTGTAATTTCGAAAGTGAATTTTAATTTTCAGATTTCTCAGCGGAATAAAACCTTCACCTTTTGACCCAGTTTTCTCGAATTGACTTAATTTGATCAAAAATGTGTCACTCATAAATTGTTCTTGAAAATCAAAGAGCTTTAAGATTATGCATTTCTTTAAAGTTCGAGTCTGTTGTTTTTTCGAAATTCTAGTGAGGTTAGCCTGTCAGTTTTTTTTTTTAATTTCCTTGCCTTCATTTACTGTTTTCCAACTGTCTGTTGGCTGTTTTTTTTATCCCGTTAGACTCAAATGTTTGTTCTTTATGCCAATAAATGTATCACATTTTATGGTTGTATCAAGAATTTCGGAGTTTTTTAGACCATTGTTAGCCAACCTCGAGCCTCGACCATGAGCCTCGACCTGATTTTAAACCCTGAAAGTGTTACATATGGCAGGAAAACAGTCTAAACTCTTTTTCTACGCTCATTTGTTGCATGTTTGTTTCAATTTACTTTTAGCAGTTGATTTCAGTTCTTGATCTATTTAATCATATAGAACTGCGCAAGCGATCTCTCATTTTTTCAGTTCTTTCAGTTTTTTTGCAACGTTTCCTATTGATCCAGTTTCCTTAGAAGAGTTTTGGGTCCTCTATTTTTTCTTCAAAAATCGAAAGTTTTTTTCTGATGACTTGAGTTCATTGACCCTTTTCCAACTGTCTGTTGGCTATGCTCATTGTTATTTTTGCTGGCTTCAAAGTTTTCAAGTTTTTGGCGAAAAAGTTGAGCTACTAAAATCAAGGTGCTTTTTTCCTGTTTTGTGCCCTTAAGCAGCGAACCACTACAATCTAATTTAAAAAATGTCACCATTTGAATAGTTTCTTCGAAAAAAGTTATTTTCTCGCAGCATCCTTCATGATATTTCATAATTGTCTTAATTAAATGGCTAGCTCATCGTCTTATTTTTTTTGTGAGTCAAACCAATCAATTTTATTCTCAGAAAGTTAGCGTTTAAAAATTTTTTCATTAAAAATTGAATTCTTTCATTATTATTCCATTGTTCCATCCGTTGAAAAACTTGATTCAGAGCCAGATTTTTTGCGAATCGCTTCAAGTTTTGTTTGCGAATCGTTTTTAGTTGAATCAAGATAATTTGAAATATTTCAAACTTTCACGATTTGAATAGCTTTCTTGAAAATCTTTTTTTCTCATATTTTGCAAATGTGGCTCATTTTTTTTCAAGCCATCCTCCGCTCTGCCGAAACTTCACGCAGCTGCGGTTTTCCAATGACAATCTTATTGTTTTTTTCCCTTGTACCTGACATCGAATATACTTATCTGCCTTATTTCAAATCGTTCGATATCGGTACTTAATCATGTAAAGTCGTTTATAGAACCATAACCATATCACATGGCTTCAAAATCTTTTCGAATTAGGTCTAAATATTTTGAAAATGTCTATCACGTTTCACTTTTAGGGTGTTTCTACTCTCCCATACCTTATGATTTTTATTTATTTTTTCACGACAATTATCTCGAAGAAAGAGACGGGTTATTTTTGCTCGGGAGATTTTTCTCCAGACAAATTTGACTTCATAACTAGCCATTTTTGTACGGTTGGTATCATCTGAAAGCTTTTGTTATCAAATATTAAAAAATATGTTTTCTATCTGGGCTTTAATTATTTTTTTTAAAATAATTTTCACCTGTAACAATTTTTTGTAAAGTTGTGTGTGTGTGTGTGTGTGTGTGTGGGGGGGGGGGGGGGGGGGGGGGTTTGAAAATTGCCAGTTTGGGAAAATATCTTTGGTGATTTTAAAGCGTAAGCTGTAAACTGATTTTTCGGCAATTAATTGAGGCAAGCATTTAGCTTAGTTTTTGTTTTGCTCGGAGTGGTTTTTTCTTCAGACAAATTTCGTTTTTTTTTATTTTGTTACTTTCGAACGGTGTTTCTAAACCTTCTCAAAGGTATTGAGGCTTCAAGCTCAAATTTAAAAAAATATTTACTTTGTGATCATTTTTCGTAAACTTTTGGCTGCTTGAAATGTTCTGAAAGTTTGGTTAATTGGGCACAAATAACGCGCAATATGTTTTATTCTATGAGCTCGTAAACGGCGAAATCATCCCGCTCAGAAATTGTTTCAAGTAGCTTTGAAGCAAGCTAATAGGAAATGTTAAGTTGTTGCTAGACGCTAGCCGCATCTATTTTTATATTGAAATATCGACAGAAATAGTTTTCAAAACAAAATCAGCAAAACAATCAGTTCTTTTTTCGAAATTTAAATCGTTTTTAAATTTTCAAAAGAGCATTATTGCTTAGATGTCAACGGGTAGTCGAGTTGTTCAGGGCTTCGCCCTGATACACTCAGTGTTTTTGAATGTCGATTCGGAGTTCATGTTTCTTATTATCTTTTCACTTTTTTCTGAAATTGGGTGCGAAATGCTGCACGAATCCTGTCATGTTGTTTTGTAAGAGCTTATGAAAGTACTCGATGTAAATTAGAACACAAACTTTTGTCTCCTTCAATAAGTTCATGCTTGTTTATTTTGTCTGTTTAATTTTTCGTTTCTTGTGAAGCTTGCTTTATAAGTTCATTTTTCAAATTGGAGCTCATTTTTTTGTTTTCAATATTAAAAGGGAAATAAGGCCTTCGTTAAATACCTGCCTTCGCTGTGATTTCAAAAGTGGAGTTTTTTAGAATTCTAATAAAGGTTATGAAAAAACGCTAATTGATGCAGTTATGCTAAAGAAAATAAAGATCATCGCAATGGTTTTGTTGTATAGAAAACGGCAGCGAAAAATAAGCTTTAAATGGACGTGGTTTTGTTCACGTAGTGTGTAGTTGAAACTCAAAATTCGAGAATTAGTTTATAGAATGTCTTTTGTTGAATTTCTGAAGTTTTCACTCTTTTATCACTGCATTTTTTCCATGCCTGTATATGAAATTCTCTTTCGACTTTTTTTTAATTGGTGCTTGTTTCTGTTGCAAAAAATATATAGTTTTTTAAGCTCTAATTAGCATGGAATCAATATGAGATAAAGCATTACTCATTCCTAACTCATTCATAATTAGGCAGTTTTTTAAAGAAAACTGAGCTGGATTTTTCTCATCAAACAATCAAGCCTAAGACGCGATGTGACAGTTGGCCTTGAAATTTTCAGTGGTTTTTCTTATTGCCTAAATAACTTTGAAACGAGAATAAGACTTGCGTCAGTAAATTAGAAGCCATAATTGATAAATTCTGGAAAGTAAGATCATGAAATCCCATGAAGTAACCTAATGCCAATTGTAATTTTCCAATATTGACACAATCTAAGCAAGAGCTAGCTCACTGAAAAGAGCAGAGTCGGAGCACCAGCTTTGAAAATAATTGACCATTAGATTAGAAATTGAAGCTTATTTTTTCGACAATGTCCCAGTTGAAGAACAGGCGGAAATTATGACTCTCCGGACCAAGTTAACATCCCCCTCCCCCAAAAGCCGATTAGAGAAGAGGATGTTAACTTGCTTCTGAGTTCGAATTTTCAGCCAATCTGAATAGAGCGTTTTGCATGCAGCTGTTAGCAAATTTAAGTTAAATTGAACACTTGGAGGAAGAATCTTGACTTGGTCTATCTGGGGAAAGATATTAACTTGATCTGACTTTCCCTGCATCCCTGCACCCCTGTAACATCAAAATAAATATCTAAAAGGAAAGATACAAATATAAATATATATTAACAATAGCCGATTATGGTTTATTATACTGCCCCTAATTTTTATAAAAAATTTTGCTTG